CCTCAGGAACCATAATTAACAATAAAGATTGGTCACATGCTACACCACAACAACTAGAGAAAGAGGAACAATAATACCATTTACAAGATTGGACAATTTGTGTACCCCAATATTATACATAGGTGACAAATTCAATACTCCCAAGAAGACATCAATGATACGAGTATATTATAGTTTCCTATTATTATATATATACTTTATATATCATTTTGTTTTTTCAACTACTTCAAATTCATTGCATTGTATTCTAGTTGTTAACATATTTTATTTTAAATCAACTTCTTTAGCAATGGTTGGAGTAACAACAAGTGTCATTTAATATGCTAAATGGTTTTCTTAACTATCATTATTTCGTTGGAGGTCTCCTCAGATTTGTAAGGTCTTGGTTTATGGGAATTTGAGAGCATTTGGAATAGTGTACGTATACTTATAAACTTGGCGATATGGTTATTGATGGAATGTTTGCAGCTCTGCATTTCATTCCCATTTTCCATTATTTTCAGTGTTTTTCTTGTTTTTATTTTCACATGTAGTTCTGTAAATAATCTGTTTGAAATGGCTATTTAGAAAATACATATAAATTCTTGATGTGCCGCGACTTTGCAGGACTTCTCAACTTTGTCAATTTCAAAGAAACTATTTAATTTGTTGATTTTACAATGTAATTTAGGAAAAATGTATTTTTAAAATGTCTTGCTATAATAATTGTTGCAAGTTGCGGGATTTGTGGTGCTAGAATGATAATTTAACATCTCAATATTGTATGAAGTTACATTGCATATGCAAATAATTTTGAAATAATTGAAGCAGACATCATGACTTTTCATGTTGAAAAATGGGGAGAGGGAACAGATTACGGGCCCTGCACCGATCATAGTAATTCACTATATGTTCGTGGCTACAAAGATAGAGTATTGTCCCACAACTAGGAAAGAAATTTTAACATATTACGCTAAGTACTACATTTGTCCGTACATAAAAAGTCAGAAGTTGAAAGAAAGTCATCGTATTTTAAATACAACGATCGTAATTTGCCGATAGGAGTCATCATTGGATCTTCAATCCACCTTGTTTGGAATACATTGTTTTCTACAACATTTCAGATACTTAGTTAACATGTACTTG